ACCAAAACTAAGTCGTACTTTGTACTCAACTGAAACTTTTAGACGCATATTCTTTGAAAAAGGATATAATATTAACAATAAATCCTCTCCCATAACTTCTGTAAATAGTTTTGATAGTTCAAATTATTAAAATCATTGAGACTTTAATTCAAGAATAATATCGGAATTGATAATTTTATTTTTTTATAAATACCATTACATTTCAAACTTTAAAAAAAATGTTTATATTTATATCACGTCATATTATTTATTAGTTATTACCCATTCTTTTTCGGTAGTCCGGGACTTGCCATACAACAGTATTCTCGTGTTACATAAAATACATAACAGTATAACACCTATCTTAGGAATTAGGATTATTTTTAGGGTTGTTGTTAGAGTATCAGATGTATTAATTATTAACCAAAAATAAGAGGTAGCGACCATAGATACTATTATAGCTAAGTAACGTCCCACTAAATAATTAGAAACACTCAAATAAATTTACAGTTTTAATAATTTTAAGTATAAGTTACAGGTTGTAAACACTAAAAAATATTCTAAAAATAACCATTGTATTAACAACTTAACTAATTTGAACATTATTTATTGTAGGGTAACGATGAAGTCAAATTTTCATAACAGAAAATAACCAACTGCAAATATTAATACCACTTAGGTTTTAAATGTCTCAAATGGGTATAATAGAATACCTAAACATTTAATCCATATTTATTTTTTTTTAACTATATTCAAAACAAACTGAAGATCCATAATTTATTTTCAATCTTAGGGAATATTTCTTTTCATAAAAGTTTTTTCCATCTAATTATTAATAATTGAGAAAAACTAACATAAAACAGCGAAAAAACTTCCCCACAACACCAGTTTTTGGCTCAACGAATTTGTTTTTTTTCTTGTTGTAATTCAAAATGGAATAATCGTGGAGATTATATTTTATGATCTTTTTGAGTTATTCATATAGGTACTTACATCTGAAATGTTTTTTTTTTAGTTTTTTTTTCAGGTTTAAGTATATAGCATAATTGTTTAATTGTTGTTTTTTTTTTTGACCGCGAGCTTTGAAAAATGTATTAAAATTATTTCGCAAAATTGTTCTTAAAATAATTAATACATTTTTTAGATACAGTCGTACAGATTCATATTTTTTTTAAGTTTTTGAAGTAAAATAATTTTACTCCAACGATGTTTTGTTATTTCAAAAGTAGTATGTACTATGTAGGTACCTACTCCAAAAAAAAAAAATCTTAAAAACTTAAAAGTTTTCATCATTAGGTATTTAAGTAGGTTTATTATTATTTTCTATGCGCAGTGAAATTTTCAATATAATATTAATTATAGTATAAGTTTAAGCTATTTATACCACGAACCTATTCACACCATTCTACGGACCTACGGTACGCCGGTAAGTACTAACTTATAAGTTCTACTAAATGTTTTTGGCAAATATTAATTAAATCTACCGAATTCAGAAACTACTATAGGTAATATTAATTTATAGATACATCTAAAATATAAAATATAAAGTTTTAATTATCATTAGAAACAGATAAAGAACCACCTTTCTTCACCTTTGCGTTTTTGTATACAATGATTTAACTATTAAAATTAAAAATTGAATGACATTTTAACTACAAAACTATTTTCTTATTTTCATGATTCACACAAAATCCGTAAAAATGTTGACTTTAAGCCCAAATTTACTGGGAATTTTTTAGTTTTTACCACTTTAAGTACAAATTAGGTCCAGTACTCTACCAGATATTGTAAAATGTTCAATTTAATCAATTTCTCTGAAGATTGATTTTCACAGGAATAATATTTTATAGAATTCACTAAGATAGGTGTTTTTGAAATATAATATAGTTCTTTAAATTTTGTAAGCGATCAATCATTATAATATAATGACAATTATGATTGGAACTCAATGTATTAAGGGTATTTGAACATATTATATCGGGTATAGGTATCACGTTATTTGAAAAATGTTGTGAACTTTGTAACGTATAGATATACATATCTAATGCAACTTGTACATTTAGTTTTTGATCGATTATATTTTTAGTATACAAATAAGTTGAAACATATTTACCACCTAAATAGTGTTTTTCAAAAAAAAATCAAATATTGTATTCTAATCAATAAATAGTTCACTAAAATATGAGCAGGATATTATTTTTAACTATAAGTCTTTGGTCTTAGTCTACATTTCAATAAAAACACAAATATTATTTTAGGTATAGTAATTATGCATATTTTGGAATAGCAATATATATAGTTAACACAATATAATTCATCGCTCATTTTATTAAATTAAATCAATATTATTTTTATAAAAATACTACTTTTTAACTTATAATCGCATAGCTGACAGAAACCATGCCCATCATAAGATGTTTTACTCATCATTATCATAATCTGACAGTCTTGTAAAGTACTTGTGTAATTACTTTTTAAGTACTTAAATACTTTTGAAAAAATCACTTGAATTAAGTATTTTAAATACATTCTCTAAGTACCTATCTGTATTTAAAATCAAATACTAACTTTCAAATACTTTTTTTTTCAACTTACATATTTTCTATTTTCAAATCAATCACTTTAAATAATCAAAAATATTTAGAAATGTATGTGTGCGTTTAGGAAAAAACAAAACCTATATAAAATCATAAAATATTACAAATTTTCAAGAAATATAATCTTATACAGAATATTTTATTTTAAAAACAATTATTAGTGAATATACCACTATGTAATATGTTTGAATTGGGAATTTCGAAAAGGGCCCATCTCGAATTTTTACCAAAATAGATTTTTTCTCATTTTTTTCATTTACACATATAGACCGATATTTTATGAGCGAAAAGGGACCATATCCGTTTTCTATTGTGTTGAAATAAACATCCTATTTTTAGAAAAATTTCGAAAAGTACTCATATCATCGAGACGTTCAGTTTTTTTGAGTTTCCTAAAAAATTTTAATTTTCAGATATGAGTCGTTTTCGAAATTCCCAATTCGTTTATGTTTAAGATATTATATACATACTCATATTAAGTAAATATTACAAATTATTTGTATTTTTAATTAATAATTTTTAATCGTACAATATAAATAATCTAATAATTCAATCAAAAATATAGTAATTTTTTTTTTAATTAAAAAATGACTTCATAACAAAATTCAAGGTTAAATTTTTCACTACGTTATAAATAATTAGTTTAAGAAGACTACACCCGTGCATCTCCGTCTTAATACATACGGCATAGCAAATTTTCGTTCACTAGTTTCGATAGCGTAAAAATTGGATTGAATTAACCTATAATTATTTAATTTTTAAGTAAAAACATTATCTTAAACTTCAAGTTTTATTCGATTTATATAATTTTCAAGAGAGATATAAGCATTTTAAAATGTGATATTCACATACCCATTTCTTGCTCGAAAATTAAAATATCGAAAAAATCGTCAACGATTAAGCACATAATATTATGATATTCTTACCCAAAAATTTGAATTCACTCTAATATTAACACTTACAGCAAACTATTAACTAGTGAAGGAAAATTGTTCGTACATGACTAAGACGGAGACAACAAATGCATAGGTAGGGTCCCTTCAAGTCTATAGATATAAGTTAATATTCGTTCAACTTAATTCGGCGAATAAATAGTAGACATTTTCATACCGAATAATATTGTATTATGAATTTTTACAAATTATAATTGTATGATATATACCTATATTATGCTGAAAGACTTCAGTAAAAACATTATACTATCTTAATAATTATAAATGAATACAATAGGTACCTATAAATAATAAATCTCACCAATTTCACAAAATATTTAAATATATAAACAGAAGTACAAAACAATAGGTTTTTTAAAAATATAACAACATTAATATGAATCTTAATGATGATTAAATTATACATAAACAGCCTACAGGGTCCTTATAATTATCACCAGTTCTAAGTGGTATAATACCATATAATGCAGTACTGCTGCAGTAAAAATTCCATTACGTCACTCAATTAAAATATCGATAATTCTGCACACACAATATTGAATGTACATACATTTCCTAATTTCTTATTTTCTATTAATATATCTATTTATTACGAAAATATATCGGTATAATAACAAGTCATCTTATAGTTAGCTAATACAATATTAGCAATAATATTGATTTGTAAAATAAATTTGTTAATATTAATGATAACATTTTAGTTAAATAAATTAAGAATAATTTAGATGTGTAACCCACTATCTTGTATAAAAAAGTGATACAAATCTTTTATGTATTCTTTGGTTAGAAATTTTAAAAAATTGTTACTTTATATTAGTTTTAATGATTTGAAATTTCTCTGATCGTTTACAATAGTATTTTATACTATTTTGGACTCTACGAATAATGTACGTTTATTATTGTGCAATCGCTGACTTTGTTTCTCGTTTTATTTTATATGATTAGATTTTAAAATTTTTGATACGCTTGAAGAGCCTCCCCTGCAATTTATTACATTCCGCCTACCTACCACCCGATTAAATGTTATTAGATTTAAGTGGAATGCATGCACGTGTTTATTTTCAAAAATAAATCAAATACTAATACTTATGTAACTCAATGTAAGCTGTATATTCTATGGTTTAAATTGTATGACAAATAAAAATTAAAGTTTCGTATAATAATTAACGATAATATATTATTTTACAGTTCATAATTAAATTTTTTATAACGAATCATAGGCTTACAGCTTAATAGTTTTAAAAATTTCAGAAAATTCATAACAATTTTTATAAAAATTTTTATCAAATCATTAACTAATTGTGTTAATTTTAGTCATTATACTAAAGTGTTTATAATACATTAATATATATTTTAATTTACTGATGTATTTTGGTAATTACACTATAATTTCCTTTATATAATAACGATGAATATAGCTTTAACTGTGTGGTAAATATATTTTTATTGAAAATATAATTAATTTACTAACCTTATTCTCTTGAACTAAACAACTCAACAAGAAGAACTTAAATGGCATAAAGTTTACATTTTATAAAAAAAATATTTACACATACCGTTATTATTACAAGCGGTACCGAGTACAATGAACGTTTTCCGGCTTTTTAGTAAGGACGGTGGCGACAGACTGCCGACTTTGGGATACCACTCGCGTATTTTCATGTTATTTGAGGAGCGACATCTATCTGGTCTCAAAAAATAAACTGAAATATTAAAGTGTATTTATAATGGGACTATAAAACTGTTCTTAAGCAATAAATAATCTATTTAGTATGTCATAATCATATAATATAAATATATTATAAAATTACATTTAATGTTTATAAAATAAATATATATGTTGCCCGTTAAAAAACTAATCAACTGATTATTGTAGTATGTATATTGCATAGGCGTGCGCAAGGGAGTGGCAAGATGGGCAACTGTCTCGCCTCTCGCCCTCTCCTGCAAGATTTGCTACTTCTGGTTATTTTTACCTAATTTAAATTTGATTATACATTTTTTATAAAATTACGATGACTAGAGCATTTTTCAAGATTTTTAGACAATTTGCATTTTTCAATATCTTAATAAATTCTATATCTAAATAGTATTAAAATGATTATTTCAATATCTGCAGTGACTATTTAGTCTTGTTCTCATGAAAGAAGCCTTTCAAGGCCTTCAGTATGTAGTGAAGATAAATTTGCAGAGTGCCGGGGGGCAAGATACATTGTATAGGCTTACCATATTTGATATTTATACATCAAGTACAGGCCTACTAACACTCATGAAGTGTTAAAATTAACGTGTATTTTTATTTTATGCAATGGTTTTATGATTGTATGTTGTTTGAAAATTGGAACATGGGGTTTATTTTTAAGGGTCAAAAAAATACCTGTCTTACATAAGCGCTTAAATGGTATTTTATGCTTAATAATATGTTATATGAGACATGTAAAGGATGAGGCACTGAGACCTAACCTACTGTATTATTTATATTACAATTTTAGTGACTGACCCGCTGTATTTAAGTAGATACAACAGGCCTTGGCAATAAGTCTCTTGGCATGTGGCAGGGTAAGCAGAGGCATGTACGCCCACAGAAGTATAAGCAGAAGGAAGGGGGCAAAGTCAAAAATCTCTGATAACACAGCACATATTGTTGTTTTGTTTTTGCAAGTGAAAAAAACAATTAATATTAACTAAAATAGAGGGGGCATGACCCACCACCCCCTGAAAGCGCCCGTAGGTTTTAGCTTCTTTGTCAATACGTATATATAAGTTGGTAATATTATTTTTAATTAGTGAATTAGGATGGTTGAACAATTTTCACTGACATTTTTTTTACTCATTAACTGTTAGCTCTCTAATAGTTGTTAACTGAAGGATTATTCTAGTAGAATAAACTATCTACTAAAAAATTATTTGAATAATTAACGTATAACTTAACTACGATTATTACTTAAATAACATTTTAGAAATATAGTTTTTTCTATCTATATTGTTTAATTTAGATGTACTTGTAAGTATACTGAATTCGTGATCAGAATAAAAACTGTGAAATATACTGAAAAATATTTTAGGTATTTTATTTCAGAAGAATATTGTTGGTTTTATGTCTTAGGTTATGTGTATTATTATTACATACGCACGACAACCAGCTATTACTTTTTTATGAATGTTTTTTGGTTTGGTTTTTTGATTCTATTGGGAAAAATAAATTAAATCAAAATGTTGAAGGTACAAACAACATTGAGAAACCTTAACGTACATTGTATATGAGTATTATAAAAGACACTTATCTACACGCATTTTTTGATATTATTCCTTTCTTGCACCAAACTCCAACCCAAAGTTAAATTTTACGATGGTCTTATCACTAGAAATAGCATAGGCGAAAATGTTTGTTTAGCTCATAAAGTAGTTTTATCGCTGTCAAGTGTTTTAAATTTTTTTTACTTCTACTATTTCCACTTTTTTTACAAACAAAAAGCATTTAAAGTTTGTCTTATTCGTTTTATTTGTACATTTACTAAGTTGCCAATGTTTTCATTGTTATTGTTATTTGTTGTTATTATTTTCATAATATAGTAGATACCAACCTACCCACAACCCACAATATTGAAAATATTCATATCAATTTTTATATTTTGATTTATTATATTGTAATAATTAATAATATACAATATTATTATAATTAGTAAATAATTCATTAAAACCAATAAGTAGGTAAATATTATTCTCTTTCTAAAAATATATATATGATACCCATTAAAATATTTCACTTGAATACTTAATAACAACAATAAATTATTAACTAGTTACTAAGAAAGTATTAAGATATAAAGCAAATGATGTATTTTCATCGTCATCTGACCTATATAATATGATTTTTTTACAAAAACAAGATCATAACAAGCAACTGTAATTTATATGAAAATCGTTTATCAAAAATATAAAATGGTCTCTTTATGGTATTGTTTTTTTCATGTAATATTTCTATTTTATGTGATAATAATCGGATAGTAGAAACTGTGGTAGTAGTAGACATACTCGCAAATCATATATTTAATATCGTAGCATTCTTTTTATTTTCAATGTACAGAAACACACTAATAATTGCAACAACAAAAAGTATTCATTTAAAAATATAACTTAAAAATATATATATACCTACCTGGAATTAACATTGACGCACTTTTATCTTTACACAAAAACATAAATATAAACTTAATTTCAAATAATACTAGCTATTCTATATCAATACAACAAAAATGTATTGTACCTATTTGAGAAGTGTAGGTAATTGTGTAACTTAATAGAGAATTTTCAATTAAACAAAACTTATTTCCCTTGAGGATGATAGAAAAACTTCTGTAATGCAAAAGGAATTAATTATTTATTAGTATCAATTTTAAAATTAAGAAACCAAAAATATGACAGTTACGTTTGTATTGAATTTATTTAGAAACTCTATTAACAAATCGACAGCTATGAAAATAAACTATTATTATTATGATAGTTCTTCAATAGTAAATCTTTAAAATATTTTAGATTCTATAATATACCTAGTAATCTAGTATATATTTTATTATACACCTATGATATAAATTTATATTTTGTAGATATTAATTATCCGTAGGTACCTATATAATATTATAAATTACAATGAGAAGTTATTACTTGTAATGCATAAATTATTAATGGAGGATTTCAGAATAAAATATTTAGTTATAAGTCGTAATCCCTCAGATAGCAAAATTTATTGGTTATATTATATATATATAATAATATTGATATATAACCATAAACCAACCTATACCTATAATACCAAATAAATTAATCAGTTCATTTTATTTGGAGATACATACAATTAATTTAGTGAAAAAAAGCATTAGGTGCTCACGACAACATTTAATTCATACGTCTAGAAGCGTATTACCATCGGCGTAATTAGTCATGTTTATTTCGAATAAAATAAATAATACCTAGGTATGTTCTGCGTTAATATTTTTGAGATTTTTCTTCTATTCTAAAATTCATAGGTAAAAATAAATATTACTTAAAAATTATATCATTGTAAAACCAATTCAATATTTAAAACCACATGGAATATAGGGAACAACCTATGGTGGAACTTAAATTTCAGTAGGTAGGTATGAGCTTATTATTTAAATAAATATAGGTACCTATGTAATAAAAAAAAATATGAACCATCATAATTTTAAAGTGTACATAAATTCACTTAAATGCTTACTGCTTAGTATAAATTACACTATCAAACATTTCTCGCCGACATGGTTTCTGCAGACGATGAGAGAATTATAATACATAAACGCTATTACCTATCAAAAAACTATTAAAGTGTTGTACCAATTTACTTTTTAAGATGTTAATCGCTAAGTGCCTAGTTCACATACTTAGATACTCTATTGAAAATAACTTTAATACTTAGGTCACGTCCCATCACTATGTATGTAGAATGTATTCGCTGTACATATTATACATTGTATAAATACTAAAAGAGGTGTTGTTAACTTGTAATAGTCTAAATTGACAACATTTTATAAAATTATTATTTTTGGGTTCAGTATTTCTTTACGTTTTAACTTGGTATTAAAAAAATAAAAATAAACTCACAGTTTTGTGGATAAATATATTGTAATTAGGTACGTTGTTACATATTATTTAATCATTAAATGTCCTCAAAAAACACCATACAAATAGTAGGTAGGTACTAACCTCTAGGCATGTCAAATTTTAGACTTACTATCATTTCCTTTACTTCTCTATACTTATTATTATACAAGTTTAAATATAATTGATACAAATAGTTTTTTTTAATATGGATAAAGGATATACCTATTATTTTTACCTATTATTGATAACCGTATAGTATTCTATACATATTTTACAACTAATTTTTCTTTCACAACTATTTTATTCATCCACCCCGAATTCCGATCGTTAATTTTCTGCCGAGTTAAGCGCCCCACGGCCAATGGGACGTTTCAACTTACGAGTACGATACTACTACGACCATTGGTCATTGACCGTACGCACGATTATACGATTAGGCGGATGCATTTTATGCCTTCTTTCCATTCCGTTTGGTTCCAAAAATTCCGAACGATCGTCGTACGGTAATAACCGGGCACCGACCGTTTGGTTCAAACGTGCCGCCGGTCACACTGTCCGTCATCGTCGTCGTCCAATTATACGTATCGCGTGAGACTGATAACTGGGCAAAATGGCCGTCCTCGAGCCGTCGTACGACTGTTATTAATTATTATAATATTATTATTTATCAATAATTCGTCACCTGCCGTTTTTTTCCGCGGCGTTCGTTGTTGACCGTCGGGAATAACGACGCCGACGACAGCAAGTAGCGACGTCGAGTGACAAACGATTTTCCACGCCAGGAGCACGGCCGCCGATCACGCCGCATTCCGTACGTGTCGTTCTGCACTTCCGCCGAACCGGGTATTCTCGAAAGCCCGGTTTGTGTTTCGTTTTAGAATATTTTGGGCAGTTCTGCGCCTCTGCTTATAGGCTTACCCACTCGAAACGTCCGTCCGATCTGTCCGTCGCGTTTCGAGTACGCGTAGCTCACGAAATCGCGAATGGTAGAAATATGATATTCATTGCCTACAGAGGTCTAGAGTTTATCGCCAAACCATTTACGACTGTGACAGAGTCGTGTAATAATA